CTTATGAAACGAGCAAGTGGCTCTAGATCATATAAATCAATAATGGAGTTTGACATGCTTCAATTTTAAATTAATTGATACCTAATGTGATTATCAAATACCATAAAATTAATATATAAATATATATACATATAAATCAAAAAAGAGAAGTGTAGTCTTTTAAATACAATGTTTATGTATAATATAATTTGTCATTTTGTGACTATTTTTTTTCTTTGGGATTATGTAAAATATTTTATATATTTCCTTATTCATTTATTTAATATTATATTATATTATATGTAAAATAATATTATTATACTTGTAACTTTATAACAATAACATCACTAACTTAAAATCTCCTTAATATTATATTATTACCATTTATATTATTTTATTTAATTCACAAATTTAGATTCTAGAGGAGAGTCTTCACTTTACTGTTATGACCCACTAGAAGCTTTTCAAAAGTTACATTAATAATTGTGGAACAACCAATTGATATTCAAGGACGGATTTGATACTCCAGGTAAAGTTGCATATTTAAATAAAGCTGAGATCTCTTAATTGGACGAGAGCGTGGAGCTGTCCAATGAACTTAGGTTTAACTTCCCTCTGGAAGCATGTAAAACAAAAAGGACTGGACTGGGATAGAAAATTTAGTAGGGGGCAAAAACAGGTTATGTTATATAATAAGATGTAATGGGTAAAAGTACTTTATTTATTTTATATTATATTTGGGGAAAAATAAATATATTTTTATATTAAAAATGTTTTATTTTATATAAAAAATCAAAATATATTGATGTTTGAAGAAATTTAATATAATTATATGATGAATTTGATAAAATCTCATATTATATTTTACATATTTAATAATTATAATTAAAAATCTTGACATTAAAATCAAATTTCTATTTTCCCTTATATTTATATAAATATTATTTTGCTAACTGATAAGAAAAACCCTATTTGTACCTTAAAAATTAAATGGTAACGGAAAATGAAAAAATAAAAAGCAATGTAATTTTGAAAAAAAAAAAAAGAGAAGATAACATTGCAGGGGAGACAATGTCATGTGGAGTAGTCTCATCAAATGTACTACTATTGGTGATAATCTAACAATTATTAGTTATCGTGAGGTGTTAATAGTTGAATTAATTTTATTATTAATAAAAAAAATTCTATATTTTTTTTAAACAATTTTAATATTATTTACAAGTATATATATATAAAAAAAAATAAGTTATGTGAGGATTAAACGCGTCAACCATATAAGGTAAATAGTCCTAATTCAGGTCCAATACCACTCTTATATTTTTGTAACAAAAATTTAAATTTGTATTTTTCTCCTATTATCCTTTTTTCTAGAAGTTTAAACCATTTATTTTAGTATATCAAAAGAAATAAACCTATTAGTTGTCAAATACAGTTTGCCTCGTGATGCAACATTCTTCTATTATGCAAAGATGGGGAGCTTGCAACGATCTTGTTCTTATTTCAGTAATAACTCACCATTTTTCTTT